CAGGTCACGATGTAAATCTAAAAAGCGATTTCGGTAAAGCATCGATACACTGAATAATCATGTAAAGTTCTTCTATCAGCTCAATCCTTATCGATGAGTTGGCAGAAGATGGCGAAGAAGGTTGGTGTTTGATATTAGTCAAGAAAGTCACCTGAAAGGTCCATAAAAAGAAGAGGCGAATTTCGCAGCATAAGACATGACCGATACTTGACGTGAGAAGCCGTTCTTGTGAAGGAGCTGCTTTATTGCCAAAATCCTCCCCTCTGACATATCTGAAGGCGCAATTATGTGTGCTCCTAGAAACACGAAAACATCAACAACCTTTAGTTTTGTTAGGAAAATGACACAGTTGTATCTGACATTACCTAGGAACTAAGGCCAAAGTCGAAGAAACCTTATATAAAATAGACTGCTGACTGTAACCATTACACCTAATTTTGCCGAAATTCGGTGTATATACATTAAAGCACATCAGATATATGTGCATCCATCAATACCCACCCCCAAAATATGGACCTGTAAAAAAAGTTTTAGCAGCAACGTTGACAAAAACCCACAATCAAATCATTCAATCGAACAATTTTGCATTATCTGATAACATTATCCACAGCTCAAGCCTTAAACTATTACCATAAGTCGAGTTCAAAACAGTACGCAAAAATTATTTGGTTAATTTCAATAAACTGGATTACACACCTGCCTTTGCATAGTTAAGTGCTATTTCGGATAGCCTGTTTATCGTTTGTTCGATGTCCATTTCGCCACATGCATTGGATATGTCTGAGAAACAAAGAAAGATATGATTCCACATCTTTATAGTCCAAAAATAACTAAATATCAGGCTAGTAATCTCATAGTCAAAACTTAATGTTAACACCAAAAGTAGTGGTAGCGAAGCAAAGGATTAGATAGTGCTGTCACATGAGAAGACCCTGATTGGCAAGAGAAAGAAATGCTAGGCGCGAAACTTACAGCATCGGTGCGCTTGAGTGTAGGCACATAAACACACATCACATGCAAGGATGAGAGAGGGTAGCTGAGCCCTTAGTAACTTCAGTGCACCAATCACAGGACTTTTGCCATAATCTGCAGCTGAACCCCTGTCGTCCTTCACCGAGTCATCAACGACACCAAAAATGAGCACACATTTAAGTTGCTTTTCAACCAGTGGTCTCAAATGTTCAACTAGATTATTTAGCCCCAAAAGGACCTGATTTGGCAGACCGGGTATGTCGTCTTTAGAATCATCATTTGAACTGTAAAAAAATTATACACGAATCGCAGTCATGGATTTAAACTGCACACAAATTTAATTATTAAAAGGAATTTAGTTCTAAATAAAAACAATAAACAAGATATCTAGCTTTGACGTGTACACACCTAATAAATATAGGATAAATAAGGTTATCGCCAGTAAGAGTGCATGACGCAGATTGCCAATATCGCAGAAGAGGTGTATTGTATCCGGAATGTAGAGAATAATTCTAAAAAACAAAAAATGACTGATATCCTCAAAACATGAAGTGTAGGACAGACTACTTCAAGATGAAGGTAATTAGCTTGGGAAGCTAGGTAAACAGACATAGGCAATTCGTTAAGCTATGAGAAATAATCGAATCACTTTAAACAAGGCTAACCGTACAAATAAGGCAAAAATGTAAAAAAGGTCTTGGCCTACATTCATTTTTGGAAGGCAAAAGTCGGCGCGAAAAGAACGTCTCTTGCATCAATACTGGAATTGCCTCCCGAACAAGGTTGATTTAGGCAAGGCCACTAGTTAACTCAAACACAGTATTTAACCCCTCAAAACACTAGTTCTTTAGATAAATTTAGAAGATATTCGTAATGATTTAATGAAAACAAAATATTGGCTTTGATTGTTTAAAAGTAAAATGTTAGATAAATATACATAGATTTTAAATAGACTACAAACAAACTAGTCCCAAAACCTCAACTACAGAATATTTTGGACCAGTTCAAAGCATGACATCAAAAGAGTAGCTCTTAGTTGTAGCGTTCCTAGACTTTCTGGCTAGTACAAACGTCAGCAAGTGAGGCTGGATACATGTATTGCGAAGGGAACAGAGAGAATGGGCCTGAACATAACCCGAAGGCCAGCCCACACGTACAAAGCGTAGTACTTTGTTCATGTGACTACCTGACGTTCGGTGGTCACTTTACGATTTGTCAGGCCCTTGTGCGTATAGGCTGGCGTTCGAGCCATACTCAGGCCCATTCGATCAGTACCCTCCGGAATACACGTATCCAGCCTCACTGACTTCTTTCACCCGTTTGGGAGTCTTGGCACGCTACAGATTCTTTCACGAACACATATAAACCCAGTGAAACTGATTTTTACTGCGAATCGACCACTATCTAGGTTGGCACGTTTATTCATCACTCAGACGCAATAACAGGAGCATGTATATGAACTCTAACACATCTGTTAGCTCTTAGCTTCATCTTCGATGACAAAGATACGACTCATTTTCTCTAAACTCTTAATATGATTAAATTATCAATTTTATGTCCCATCATAGTGACTGAATCATGACCATAACGTCAGGCTCTTGTGTAGCGTACCAAGGCTTCCCACAGGGTAGTAGAAGGCATAAGTGAGGCTGGATACGTGTATTCCGGAGAGTACTGATCGAATGGGCCTGGGTATGGCTCGAACGCCAGCCCTTACGCACAAAGGCCTGACAAATCGTAAAGTGACCACCGAACGTCAGGTAGTCACACAAACAAAGTATTACACTGCCCCTCTCTTCTTTTGGACGACGTCCTCGACGCTCCCTTTCGGTACCACATGAAAGCA